GTTGTATATCAGGACTTTAGTACACATTATATCTTTTGTATAGTTTCTCCTGAAATGTCGTATATCAGGATTTTAGTAAACATTATATCTTTTGTATAGTTTTTCCTGAAATGTTGGATATCAGGACTTTAGTAAACATTATGTCTTTTGTATAGTTTCTCCTGAAATGTTGGATATCAGGACTTTAGTAAACATTATATCCTTTGTATAGTTTCTCCTGAAATGTCGTATATCAGGATTTTAGTACACATTATATCTTTTGTATAGTTTCTCCTGAAATGTCGTATATCAGGACTTTAGTAAACATTATGTCTTTTGTATAGTTTCTCCTGAAATGTTGGATATCAGGACTTTAGTAAACATTATGTCTTTTGTATAGTTTCTCCTGAAATGTTGTATATCAGGACTTAGTAAACATTATGTCTTTTGTATAGTTTCTCCTGAAATGTTGGATATCAGGACTTTAGTACACATTATATCTTTTGTATAGTTTCTCCTGAAATGTCGTATATCAGGACTTTAGTAAACATTATGTCTTTTGTATAGTCTCTCCTGAAATGTTGTATATCAGGACTTAAGTAAACATTATGTCTTTTGTATAGTTTCTCCTGAAATGTTGGATATCAGGACTTTAGTAAACATTATGTCTTTTGTATAGTTTCGTCCTGAAATGTTGGATAGTCAGGACTTTAGTACACATTATATCTTTTGTATAGTTTCTCCTGAAATGTCGTATATCAGGACTTTAGTAAACATTATGTCTTTTGTATAGTTTCTCCTGAAATGTCGTATATCAGGATTTTAGTACACATTATATCTTTTGTATAGTTTCTCCTGAAATGTTGGATATCAGGACATTAGTAAACATTATGTCTTTTGCATAGTCTCTCCTGAAATGTCATATATCAGGACTTAGTAAACATTATGTCTTTTGTATAGTTTCTCCTGAAATGTCGTATATCAGGATTTTAGTACACATTATATCTTTTGTATAGTTTCTCCTGAAATGTTGTATATCAGGACTTTAGTACACATTATATCTTTTGTATAGTTTCTCCTGAAATGTTGTATATCAGGACTTAAGTAAACATTATGTCTTTTGTATAGTTTCTCCTGAAATGTCGTATATCAGGACATTAGTACACATTATATCTTTTGTATAGTTTCTCCTGAAATGTTGGATATCAGGACTTAGTAAACATTATATCTTTTGTATAGTTTCTCCTGAAATGTTATATATCAGGACTTAGTAAACATTATGTCTTTTGTATAGTTTCTCCTGAAATGTTGTATATCAAAAATGTTTTCTTCTTTTGAATATAGGTAAATAACACAATTTGACAAACCATATGAAAAAACACACAACGTTTTATTAAACACATACAATATACAGATATAAAGGATAAGTTTTCTAATATTCGATAAAAAAACAAACTTGATTTCAAAAAATGATAAAAGGTTGAGTAGACTTTACAACAAATTGTTTAACTGAGAACTGAAAATTAATTTATATACATATGTGCTTTATAACATCTTGTTTAACTGAGAACTGAAAATTAATTTATATACATATGTGCTTTATAACATCTTGTTTAACTGAGAACTGAAAATTAATCTATATACATATGTGCTTTATAACAACTTGTTTAACTGAGAACTGAAAATTTATTTATATACATATGTGCTTTATAACAACTTGTTTAACTGAGAACTGAAAATTAATTATATACATATGTGCTTTATAACAACTTGTTTAACTGAGAACTGAAAATTAATTTATATACATATGTGCTTTATAACAACTTGTTTAACTGAGAACTGAAAATTAATTTATATACATATGTGCTTTATAACAACTTGTTTAACTGAGAACTGAAAATTAATATATATACATATGTGCTTTATAACAAGCAATTTAGCTGAGAACTGAAAATGACCTCATGATTCCTTCAAAGTATTTTTATATTACATTATTGACTGTACTTTAAGGTATTGTTATATTACATTATTGACTGTGTTTTAAGGTATTGTTATATTACATTATTGATTCTGTTTTGAGGTATTGTTATATTACATTATTGACTGTTTAAGGTATTTGTATATTACATTATTGACTGTGTTTAAAATATTTGTATATTACATTATTCACTGTGTTTTAAGGTATTGTTATATTACATTTTTGATTGTATTTTAAGGTATTTGTATATTACATTTTTGATTGTATTTTAAGGTATTTGTATATTACATTATTGACTGTGTTTTAAGATATTTGTATATTACATTATTGACTGTGTTTCATGGGATTTGTATATTACATTATTGACTGTGTTTTAAGGTATTTGTATATTACATTATTGACTGTGTTTTAAGATATTTGTATATTACATTATTGACTGTTTTAAGGTATTTGTATATTACATTATTGACTGTGTTTCATGGGATTTGTATATTACATTTTTGATTGTGTTTTAAGGTATTTGTATATTACATTATTGACTGTGTTTCATGGGATTTGTATATTACATTATTGACTGTGTTTCATGGGATTTGTAAAAACGTTTATAAAACTTGGCACAGGTCCATCACATGATGGAAAGTCTGTTGCCATTGGCGTGTCGATGTTGACCAGATAAGTTAGATTATGATGATGAGAAAACCTGCAATGACGTAGTTTTTGGTAAGTGATCACTGACACAAAGAATGTCGGTCTTCAAACCACATGAGCTAAGGAACAGTTCACGGCGAGAACGTAGAATTCTCGCATCCTGTTCTCTGTATCATGACGTCAACACCATGTCACTATAGTGACTGACAGAGGCCATCATGTGAACCGTCAACTAGCGGTGACGATGATGCTGTGGAGCTAACACTAACGAAAGATTCTTCATATGACGGAGGTGGCAGATCTTCTGGTATATGCTACCAAGAGGAGAAAAAAATCATTTTATTCTTCACCAGGTGGTAAATAGCACCTCATCAGAGTTACTTAATCCCAATACGATGTCTACCGTGATTATTAAACCATAAGACATTTAATACAGATAATACATCTCCATACGATATTTAACATTATTATTACAATATAAGAGGGGGTTTAATACGGACACTTCATCCCCATACACAACTGTAGTTAAACATTACATTTTTCACATACACAACTGACGTTAAAGCATTACGATTTTTTAAGTCTTACTGGTTGAGACCGAAGCCTGTAGCTTAGAAACTCGTCATATGTTGGAGGTTTATCTAAAGCTGCTAAATCACGGAAACTGTCTGAAGTAGTTCCTGAAACTGTCGGTAGGGGGCTATCTGTGGACGAGCTGTCTTGATTCACTGGAGAAGAGTAGTACGAAGAGACTGACCTGTAAAATATAATCCTTAAAATGTTGATTATGCCAGAATAAATTATTGTTTACAGAAGAGGAATAGAAAGAGATTGATCTATTAAGAATAATCCTTAAAGTGTTGATTATGTAAGGAAAGATTACTGGCTGGAGAAGAGTAATACGAAGAGACTGACCTGTAAAATATAATCCTTAAAATGTTGATTATGCCAGAATAAATTATTGTTTACAGAAGAGGAATAGAAAGAGATTGATCTATTAAGAATAATCCTTAAAGTGTTGATTATGTAAGGAAAGATTACTGGTTGGAGAAGAGTAATACGAAGAGATTGATCTATTAAGAATAATCTTTAAAGTGTTGATTATGTAAGGAAAGATTACTGGCTGGAGAAGAGTAATACGAAGAGATTGATCTATTAAGAATAATCTTTAAAGTGTTGATTATGTAAGGAAAGATTACTGGCTGGAGAAGAGTAATACGAAGAGATTGATCTATTAAGAATAATT